CAGGGACCAGAGCAGGAAGAAGAGAATCGGTTCGTCTCTTCGCAGAGTTCCTCTTGTGGAAACATACAGCAATCTTCTTACCCTGTGCTGAAGGGGAATTGAGAAAAAACCCCGGTCGTGATGAATGATGGAACAAGCACAAGCTCACAGATTTGAGCAGTGAGCTGGGTTTCTCTCTGCTTTCTTTTCTTTCGTTCCTCATCTTCGTCTTTCTCAGCACCTCCCCTCCAAAACCTTGCAGTCTTCTTGTCCCAGCAATGAGAGTTTTTTTCTCCCCCCTTTTATTTCAGCTACAAGACTCCAGCAAAACCCGATGGCGTTAACTATATCCGGACAGATGATGAGGTAAGAAATGCTTTGCATGTAACGTCTCTCTGTTTTGGAGAGGAAGAGGGTGGGCAGAGGACGAGTGGCTTTTTTAGGGCCTACGGGCTTTCTTAGAGTGGGCACCACTCAGAAGCAGAGAACAGAGAGAAAACAGAAGGGTGAAGGCTGAGTCATTTCCTTAGAAACGATGAACAGTTTAAGTTGCCTTAAGTGCCTGATGCCAAAAGCGATCAGATGCGGCTCTGCCCCGTCTCGGTTATCTTATGGCTTGACCCCCTTAGGATGAGTTTCATTGGATTAAGTGGGCAGGCCATGATGCTTTTACAAGAGAATTTCCATTTTGGGATTTGAATAGATCACTAAGCTTAAGATCAGAAAAAGCCTCTCCCTATTAGCAGAGATACTGAAGAGGGAATGAGAAGGTCCCCTGCCATGCCTTGCTATGTGAGGAGGGCAGCAGAGACACCAGTTGTACCAGCCAGGGTCTCCTTCTGCTGGGAGGGGGTGCTCTCTAGTTATAGTTATAATTATTATATAGTAATTATAGCTATAATTCAGTCTAGAAGTTACAGAAGTTGGCTCTGCCTGTCCTTGGGGATGTTGCAGTTGGGGAAAAGATGATGATCTTTTGAGGTCCCTTCCAATCCCTAACGTTCTGTGATTCTGTTCTGTGAAAAGCCACGTCCTCCATCCAGAGCTGTTTTGTTGCAGGGTGACTTCAGACACAAGTCGTCATTTGTCATCTAAGACGCCCAAAGAAGACCGCAAACCAGCAAGAGCAAGTGTGAAAATACCTCCTCCAGGAACTCAACGCGAGAGCAGACGATGAATTAAGTGCGCTTGGAAGAGTTTGGAACACACCAGAACTTGATAGCTAGCTATCTGTATCTCTTTTTTTTCTTTGCCAAAGTTTCAAGTAACTCCTCACTGCCCGACTTGCATCTCCCCTGCCTCCGGAGATACCAACAGGATCACCTACGCCTGTCTGTGGACTAAGGGAGCGTTTTAATACTTCCCAAGGGACTGGGCTGTGGACGTTTGTGGAATTGCCTTCAATTTGTGCTGCAGGGACACGACCACAGTGTGCAAACCAACCAGGGGAACAGCGTTAGGTAAACGTGTAGTAGACGTTACCAGTACGTGTTACTAGTAGACACAAAAAGGTGCTGATACGGCAATAGATGGACTTCAAAGCGTAAGATGTACCCGTGCAAGGGGAGCCTTCCTCTGAGCAGACGTTGCCCAGGCCTGGCTGGTGACTTTGGCACATTGGTGACTGTCTTTTGCCGTTGGCTGTGGCCGCTCAGGTGCAGACCGGTGACAGATACCGATGCCATACACGCAACTAACGTCCTCAGCCCCTTTGTAACCTTACTGCTACTCCACTTAACGTGAAACGCGGGCAGCATCAGGCCAGAGGGATGGCTTCTGTTCACTGCTTTATAGGAAACTTGTTGCACGCAGGTAACCCCTCATTCTAATCTGCACAAAGCAGGCTTGCCTCTCGCGTCTTTTGGTGGTTGAAAGAGGCTTAGAGAGGAGGCAGAGAACCTAGTGCTAAGACCTCCCTTTCAGGAAAATTAAAGCCAAATACTTTCCCCGGGCTAAGATGGCCATAAAAGGTACCGAGATATCTTCAAGCTTTTTTATCTTCTCCGTTTATTTTGTAAAATCCCACGTTCTGAGATTTTTTGCAAAGATCTATTTTGATTACGAAAAGGTAACGTTTCTATTTAAAGTGTAAATACGTGACGCCAGCAGTGTTTGAGTAACGTAGCTATTTTTTTACTTTCTAAGCTACAGAGAGGAGCTGAAATGTTGCTGTAGCATGGCACTGCCAGAGCATATCAGTACCATACAGAAACTGCAGGTGGAACAGCATCTCTTTCCTCTTAAGCTAGCTGCAGCAATTTCCTTGTCACAAGAGGTCTTACAGACACAGAACAGAGTCACTCAGGGATAGTTTTTGTAAATTTATGGCAGGAGCTATCAACTTTTTTTATATAGAAAACTTACTTTTCTTGCCAGTGACCAACACTTGGTTTTTGTCGTTGCGAGAAATACCCAGGGATGGCTTTTGGATTCAGTTCCGACAAGGTGACGGAGTGACTTCAACGTTTGCTACCCCTCTGCAAGTTCCCTAAAGCATTAACACGGCGTGACAGCTACGGCAACTTTAAACTGCATAGCCAAGGCAACTGTTTCTGGAGTGGGGAAAGCAGAAGTTCAAGACAAAAAGCACTTTTGTAGTGTCGGTTGCAACTTTAGATGGTCAAAGGAAAAAGGAAAAGGCAAACAAGCGTAGTTCTCTTGGCTTTAGAGAGAGCCATTGGAAACACGTGTTTCCCAGAAACATCCATGTTGATGGTGTTGAGCAGCATTGGGTACCAGAAGACTGCAAGCTGTGGATGCAACACTAGGACTGTGCTGTGGTTTAAGAAGTGTTGTTTTTTTAATGTAGCATAATTTAGTGTTCTTGTATTTCCAATATGAATTGAGTTGTCTTAACTTTTCCTGTATACAGTATTTTGGATACTTGACAATTTTGGACTGTCGGTGTTCTTTTCTTTTTTTTAGTGTTCTGCATTAATCTGCTTTGTTTCCTAGGGGCCTCGCTGGACATGCCATTGCTGCATTTGATTTGCCTAAACAAAGTGGGAACACTTCTCCTTTTGCTAATGAACGTAAAAAATAAGGAGGAGGCAGCACTAACCATACGTTCTCGGGGTAACTTGGACATTACCACCGCTACCTTGCGACTACATTACGGTTACCTTAAAACGTGGTCTTCAGCCAAGCCACCCAGTGCTGTTCACTGGCTGCACGCTGCCTCTAATCCTTATGACAGTAGTGAGTGTAACATTCCTTCGCACCTTCTGTATACCCACCACTCCTTTTCTATGCTGCTTTTAGGATACCTGTAGTAAGGGAGAGAAGGAGAAGGGTTGAGGCAGGGTACTGGGCGCTCTGGGAGCACAATCTACAGTCTCACCATCAGCCAAAGGCAGCCTTCGTGTGAAAAGCCAGCAAGCTACGAATCCAACCTTATTTTTCAGTTCTAAAATGTGACAGTGGCATCTCTAACGAGAGACGGGGCGATGACCCCCCCCCCCACCCCAACCTGATACAGCTCATGAGATCTGATTGATGGAATTCATTGTATCGTTGTGAATAACATTCAGGTTTGTACTAATGTATTACGTTTAACTTTGCCAAGAATGTTTTACATAAATACCAAGCTATAAAAGCATTCTCGTAGGGTGTTTTGTTCCGTATTACTGGAGGCTTCTGTTTTCCATTCAGTGAAAGAAGGGAAAGGCTCTTCTGTCAGAGCACTCAGGTACTTGTATGGGGCTGAAGGTTGCAGAAAGTCCAAGGTATGTTGCTGATTATTGGTTTATTCTTGGACATTTTGTCTGTCCTTGGTTCTTCTCTAGAGAAGAGAGGTTAAAGCACACAGGGCTCATCTCAGCACAAACTATTCCAGTTTACCATTTCAAGTGGTTAAATGATACTTTAAGGCAAGAGAGAAGGTCCCAGATAAATGGATGTGGCCATAATTGACCATTCCATACGTCCCCTGTTCCCAGGTTTTCACTTTGAGGATAAAGTTTAACCTCACTTGAAGGGTTTTTCAAAACAGAATAGGGAAAGTGAGGGCAAAGCATGGGATTCCAGTGCAGGAGGTAAGTGCTGTGGCAAGAGCGCGCTCAGCCTCTTCGTCTGAACAAAACAGATGCCGTTTTCAAGCTTCAATGAGATTTAGGATGAGAGCTCTACAATAACAACAGAAAAACTTCAGTTAGGTGCACGTGGCATCAGAGAGACTCGGATCCCACCATTCACACAGCACATCTGTGATAAACAGATTACCTGTGCAGAGCACAGTTACGCATATGACTTACCAACCTTGATTTTAGTGACTTACTCATATCCTGCTTGCAGTCAAATAAGAGTCTATATTTAAAAGCTGCTGGGTCCACCATTAATTGAACTGAGCGCCTAAGATACCAGCGACGCAGCAAAAGAGGCTGTAGAAAATCTACAGGAAAAAATAATTCCTCCGTCAGATGAAGAAGAGGGGAGAAGCCGTGGGTGGAATTAATTCTGTAACCATTTATTTTCATAAAATGTTAATAGTTGGAAATAACATAGTTCCCGAATGGAAATATTCCATAGAAAAGAACATTTAGGCTGCTCACACTCGCAGGAGTTTGCCCAACAAAGAGGAGGTGATGCAGCGTGCAATTACCAGATTTAGGGGTGTGGCACTGACAAGCTGTTTTACCTTTGTTCGAATTAAAGCAGCTCGAGTATATAACCAAGAGGGACAATGAGGGATTGAGTGAATAAGCCCAGCCACTCATTTCCCTGCAAGCTGCGATAAATGCATTTATTGCTAAGCTTGTGGCAACATTATGCTCTTACTTTTCCAAATGGCCAAATTACACATCCTGCGAGTGAAGAGCAAGCGTCCCTTTATACTGCAACTTTCTAGCATTCCAGTGAGATCTGTCAACAGCAGCAGCTTATAATACATACATGTGCTAATGCAGGCTTTGTATGCCCATATTCTAGCCAGTTTCATGTAAAAACCAAACCAGAATAGATAACGGAGGAGGAAGGGGTGATGCTCAAACACGATGACTCTGTACAAAAGTCCAACGAAAGGATCAGTTGTCTGGTTTCAGTGGCGTTCTCCGCTGGGACCGTCTCAGAGGGGCACGTTGGCTGCTTTTTTCCCTTGCTGGGGACTCCACTTTCCACTCCCGTGACAAGGACGGGCTAGAAGGAAGAAGAAAGAGCATTTATTTCAAAGCACTTGGCCAGTCTTCCTCACTGCGATTGCTGTTTCAGATCGTGTTGAACTTACAGTTGCTCTGGTGATGACAAGCAGATAATATCTTTGGGCTTGTCCTCAGCCTTTTTCTTCTCTGCAAATAATACATATATTTTCATATTTTAAAAAAAAGTCACGGATTTGATCATTTGGGGTTGTTTTCCTCCCCCTCAAGTTCGAATCACAAAGGTAACTTGCCTGCAGTTGAACCGGGTGTGTGCGCCAAGCTGATGTAACTGACCCCGGCACCGAAAGTCAAGTCATTAATGGTCTCTGAAAGAATAAGCACGTATTAGCAGTCAGCTTGTGACACAGCCAGAGGGCAAGGCATGCTGTAGCAGGAGACTCGAGTGTCACTGAGTGAGTACATCCAGTTAATTGCAAGCACATCCACATCTCACATCTCTCGTTTTCCAGCCCAGCAGATCTCAGTGTCTCCCATCCAGCCTCAAAACTACACACGCTGAATCTGATGGGCCATCTGTGCACATCAGCTTCACGCTCCAGACTTGCAGCCTTCCTTTATGTGGAGGAAATGAACTGGAATATGGGGCCTCAGTCGTGCGGCTCCTTGTCCTACCTGGGTGGGAGAGCCACACCTTTCACTGCAGCCTTGCCATCTTTCACACCACCACGTTAGATTCACACCAGCTGCTTTGCCCCTGAATGTGTGGCCCCTGAAAAGTGACAAAGGACCTGAACAGCCGTTCCTTGAGGAGCTGCCTGCAGCCAGACAAGAGGCATCGCTTGACAAGGAAGTTAGGTAGAATTTAGCTTGCCTGAATAGGCCGTAGTTGTCAGCTGTCTCTTTCCTGTCATTTATCTCAGGAGAGATGTCACAATATTCAGATTTTACTTTACTCAACGCTCTGTTTTATGCTCTTTGTTTCGCAGAACCTTTCACAAGGAATTAAGGTAGAAAGTGCTTTATAGAGCAGGAGTTGGAAACTCTGCTAAAAGGACTTCTCTCTACTGGGTTTGCTCTTTAACTACAGCGCTGGCCTGGAAGGGAATCACTGGAGGTTGTAGTGGAAATCCGACTTGATCTCTTTGCCTTAGCTGGCCTCTGTATCTCTCAAGACTGACCTGCGAGTGCAGCGTGTGCCTTAACAAGTTAACTTGGTTAATGAGAAGTTTGTGTGAAAGGAAGGATGGAAACGGTAAAGAACGGCCATCAAATAGGACTTGCCACGCAATCACAGGTGGTATCTTCACAACACGTGTTTATGTACCACAGTGAAGCAACCCACACTTGCCCAGACCCACTCAGCCATTCTCAAAGTAACAAGGAGTTGAGGAGACACAGACAGCAGAGACTGACAGAGCAGTCAAATGAGGTAAAGAGAAGAGACAGCTGCTCTTAACTTCCCAAGTACAAAACTGTTTACCAAGAACTGCATCTCCAATAGCGTTTGAGCACTATACCAGAGAAATAAACATGTTTTCTTTTGATGGTCTATCAGCCTGCAAGACCCAGCGCCACCACGCAGATGGCTCAGCACACGCTAACTCCGTACAGTTTGTCTCCCCACCGAAGGACACGTGCTGCCTCGAAGCAAAGCAGGAATTCAGCCCTAGCACCACTGCAGATTAACGTTCTGCCTCCCTTTTCACCATATGGTGCTTATGAGAAACAGCCGCGCAAGCTTCCAGACACAGATACGGCGCTTGAAAATTTCTGCCCTCTAAAAACATATCCCCCAGTTTTTTTAAGCAAAGACCGTTGCTTGTTGCTCAGGCAGCGAAGGGAAAACATCGAGGCAGACAAATCTAGCCAAGCAGCGGAGCATCCAGGGAAGAGAAGGGTCAGATTTTCCAGTGGATGCACATCAGTGCCGCTGGTTTGCTCCTGCCTGCTCGCGGATGTCAGGTATTTGCAGACTGCACAGCCGACTGCCGTATTGGCTACGCGTCCTTTGCTCTGCTGTGTGCGTGCAGGTCAGGGGCTTGCACAGATACAGGCAGAGTGCAGTCAGACAGCTGTGTTTTGGGGACATCCACCCCTCCCCGCAACATTTCACAGCTGCCTAATGAGAGCTGCCCTGTCAGACGCTCACCTCCACTCCTGACCGAACTCTCCATCGCGCTCACAACTCACACTGCAACGGAAATGCCCTAAAGGAGTTCAGTGGCAAATTGACATAAGGGAAGGGAATCTACTGCTGGAACTCAGCTGCGTTTGTGTTTCACTGTAATTGCCTCTTGCGTGTGTAGAAACCAACACTGCAGAATGCTTCAGGGCTGTCAGAAAGCATTCCACTAACACCGAACTTCTGAAGGTCGGGTTTGTGAGGTGGCAATTCGGCTGCAGTGGATGTAAGCACAGCAGACTCTCCCAGTCTGTGTATTAGAGATTCTTCTCTGTGTGTTTTTACTTTAACTTCCACAGCAGAGTAAAACAAAACCCAATCATTCCTTCTCGAATGCTCAGTTCAGTTCTTAGGCTAGAACACACACACACACACTCAGAAATAACTGTGCAGGTTATTAATCCCCCTTGAGCAGATCTCTCTGTTCTCTTGCAACTGTCACAGCTCACTGCCTGCTCTAGAAGCAGGTTGGAGCTCACCTAAAATCCTTTGTTTGGACAACACAAACCTCCTGTCTTAGAGCTGAAAAGGACCAGACCGTGAGTATTTCCCTCCACAGCAGAGTTCTGTAATTCAGCCTTAAAACACTAAGTTATGCTTCCAGAAACAAGGGGAGAAAGAGTCTCAATGCAACTGAATCTTGCACAGTTCACGCAACGCATCCTATTAAGCAGCCGTGACAAGATGCCTCCTCAGCACCCCAGAGCTGATGAACAAAGAGAGGGCAGTAGCTCTGTTACTTCAGCAGCCCAAAATAAAAGCTCTCCTGCACTGACTCAATCCTATAGTGTAAATTAGGTCGAGAGAGGTTCTCCTCCCCCTCTACTCTGCCCTGGTGAGACCGCATCTGGAATATTGCGTCCAGTTCTGGGCCCCTCAGTTCAAGAAGGACAGGAACTGCTGGAGAGAGTCCAGCGTAGGGCTACAAAGATGATCAAGGGAGTGGAGCATCTCCCTTCTGAGGAGCGGCTGAGGGAGCTGGGGCTCTTTAGTTTGCAGAAGAGGAGACTGAGGGGAGACCTCATTCATGTTTATAAATATTTAAAGGGTGAGTGTCACGAGGATGGAGCCAGGCTCTTCTCGGTGACAAACAATGATAGGACAAGGGGTAATGGGCACAAACTGGAACACAGGAGGTTCCACTTCAATTGGAGAAGAAACTTCTTCTCAGTGAGGGTGACAGAGCCCTGGCCCAGGCTGCCCAGAGAGGTTGTGGAGTCTCCTTCTCTGCAGACATTCAAAACCCGCCTGGACGCCTTCCTGTGTAACCTCATCTGGGTGTTCCTGCTCCGGCAGGGGGATTGGACTGGATGAGCTTTGGAGGTCCCTTCCAATCCCTAACGCTCTGTGATTCTGTGTGATTCTGTAAATTGAGACTGTATTGGACTCTCCTTTCCCACATACATCATCCATCTGAGACCTTCAATTTCAGAATGGTTCTTATTTACTACAGCCATTTAGGTAAATACAAAAAAATCTATAGCTATCAATGACTGATTTTCTCTGCTCTTCAGGGGGGCCATGCACTGCTACCTCTCTCAGAGAACGAGTGCTCAGCCCAATTTGGAAATGGTTCCTTTGGGATATACTTACGTTCTGGCGTGCTGATTGCACGGCCCACCACAGCAATGTTTTCTCCGGTAGACTCTTGGTTCAGGCTGTGAAAGGATACTAGAAATAAGAAGGAAATAATTAAGAATAGAAATGTATTCAGTCAGAAACCTCAAGGGTCTAGCAACCAGGCTGTGTCAACTAGGTCTAGTCCAATGGCAGCTCAGTTTGCAGCAAGCTTCCTACCTCGCTTGCTGCCAGCTGCGCTCGATGGAAGTGGCACAGTCGACGAATTTCCTCCAAAACTCTTGCTGCGTTGCTTGTTTCTGGCTTCCATGGCTTTCCTGGCAGAGTTCAGGATGGCAACTGTGCTCAAGGATGCAGCCCTACAGGGCAAAAACCCATGACAGAAACAGTGACGTGATTTCCTCCCGCTAGCCCAGATGAGATGCACGTAACGAGAGAGACCTTAAGCCCAATCCCTTATGATCTTAGGCAGCAAATGCAATGGGGAAAACCATACTGCAACATTGGTGAGCTTCATACCGCTAAGCAAGAAGTGGATAAGCAAAGCAACAGCCCCACGAAATATCATAACTAATGATATAAACAGAAACCCATACCTGCGGCTGAGTAACGGCTGTTTCAGAACATCAGCAGTAGGTGTAATGAACTCAGAAGGCACAGAGGAAGGACTTGATCTGCGTGATGAGGGCTGTCTGGCCCCAACAGGGGACTGTGCATTATTATTCCAGCCAGGAGAAGGTGCAGCTCTCTCCAGAGACGGAGCTTGCTACAGAAAACAGGGAAAAAACCAATATATGTCAAACAGTGGATACAAATGTAGGAAACCCCCAATACAAGATGCTTACACCTACATGCTGGGTGATTAGGAACTGCCCTTTGTGTGATGGATGTAAAGGGGTGCCAGGGAGAAAGAATTTATTGGCCTAAATTTTAACTAGAGGCGAACAGGAAGTTTTGATGGGATACATATGTCCTAGTTTGGAGGTCTATATATAGGTGCTCTTTTAAAGTCAGTAGAGAGAGAAAGGTACTTCCAGGGTAGAAGTCATCTCATCTTAAGGTGGGTACCTAAAATACTTCAGGACAGTTGGCCCAGGCACATATTATTTCTTTGTACTGACTTTGAAAGAGGATCTGCATAACCAGAACAGATGTAAGCTTCCACTCTGTATACAGCTAAAGTCAAACAAAATTAACCCTTTTCTTTTTGACCTGTTTATCATCTTTATCACTCCGAGAACAGAGAGCAATATACCATGTGAGCACAGCCAGTGGCAAATGAGTTTTCCCTTTAAATTGAATTATTTTTATGATAATGGCTTGTTTGTTGTCATTGCAAGCATCTTAAATGCCTCTGAAACCAAAGCCAATGCAAAGATGTATGAGAATACGACATAACCATTCTGTTAAAAGTGCTGTAACAAGGTCCACAGACAGACAGAGCCTGGATGTTTTGTGTACACAAGCTTTAGCAGAGGAGACAGAATAGATAGATAGATAGATAGATAGATAGATAGATAGATAGACAGATAGATATGGAGTTAATGGCACCAACAACCTCTGTCTGCGCTGCTGAGACCTGCTCTCGGTCTGACTCCTTCTCCATGGCCAGCTGCTCTTGGTATTTCTTCATGTCATACTCCAGCTCGGCTGCCAGCTGCTTGTCCACCGCAAAGAAGTCTTTGATTTCGTTTCGGTAATCTTGCATCACTTCCTGGAGCAATAAGGAATGTTTAAACTCTTTCAGAAATCTCTCCTGACTACTGATTCATGTCTCCATTCAGATCACAGCTGCTTAAGTGCAAAAGGAAATACCAGTTGGTAGAGCAGAGGTGTTTTTAACAGACTAAGAATTTCGATTCCAATTTGTACTTCGGATTATGAAAAAGCTTTCCAGCGTTCAAGCTGTCTGCCCACGTTCCACTGAGGAGGCTCACACGTAACGCGCTGTGAGATCCTTATCTAAAAATCCGTCCACCTCCCACATTATTTAAAACAGTGGCTGTGTCACAACATCATATGCCTTCTACATTTCCTTCTGAGAAGGCTGTCCGATCCATTACCGCTTGCACATCTAACACATTAACTCAAGAGAGGGAAAAATCTCAAACCAAACAACAAGAAAACACTTCCTCTTACCCGTAGGTAGTTCATGAGGTCCCTAAGAGCTGGGATCCTCTTCTGCTCCATTAAAGACTTCAGTGATGTGATTATCGGGATGATATTTTCGATGAAGTTCTTCTTTTGAACCTTGGTTTGAAAAGGGCACGAACGGTTAAACGATGCAATGAAGGAGAAGCCACTCTGCGGTTGGATGAATGGCCTAAGTTGCTCCATAGCAAGGGAATTACCGCAATTAAGCCTGCGCTTGCATGTACATGGGCTTTTAACCTAAGTGGAGGCTTTTAAGATACATCACTAATTCAGTCAGTTCTCACATTAAAGGCAAATTGCCAAAAGGTGCACCGAAAAAAAACATTGCTCCACTCAAATGTTTTACCAATAAGAGATCTGTGGAACAAATTAAGCCTTGCGTGGCCTCACTGACTTCAGAGGAAATGCATTTCCGATCACTCCAAATGAGCTCTCAAATACAAGCAACCTTCACAAGTTTAGCTTTCGTGTTTGGATTTCGCAACACACGAGAGGTTGCACAGGTGCCCTCAGATCACGGTGGACCCACAGATAGAGCCTGAACAGCAGCCTACAGGCACAGGGTGCCATTGGCATCCCTGTGTTGCTTGGATGATTTTTGCACCAGTTTCTCTGTCGCAGCAAGGCAGAATTCCTCCCAGTACGGTGGCCAGCCCTCTTCCCACACCAGATCGAGTGCCATTCACCTGTGAGATGAGCTTTTTTTGAGCTGCCTGCATGACGGCATTGGCCATTGCCACTTCATCTTCATCAGGCTGCATGTCCTCGTCGGGTGTTGATCTCACGGTTGACAGCTTGATTTCTTTGCAGCTAAGGACTGCAAACGTATCCGAGAGCAGCTCATTGGCTTCCATGTCCAATGGCAGGATATTATCCACAAAGCATGCTGAAGCACACAGGGAAGAAATAAGAGGTATTTTAGTGGAAACAGCAAAGACAGGAAGATAACACGGCTGGATTGAGAACCTAATGGCTTTACATAGATACCAGCTCTTTGTTTGCCAGATTTTTAATGACAGACCCTTACCTAGGATGCTTTGGCTGATCTTTGTTGTAATGATGAACCTCTGCTCATCTGTAAAGTGGTCTAGCAGGAACTTGTAGATACGCATCCTTTTCTCTCTGTTATCTTTTCCCTTCAGAGAGAAGAGATTCCTCGCCCTGCGGTAGAGCAAGACATCTTACAAGGGCCAAGTCACATTATGCAAACTCACAGAAATAATAAGACTTTAAATCAGCAAGGGATATCTGAATGTCACTTCCAAGACCCATAAACCTGTTAGCATACCACACACTCCCAGAAATGACATGCAGAAGTCCTCCCAGAAGTGGCAAGGGGAAGCAGGACACTCTTAATTTAACACTGTTTCCCCTGGCTGTTTCCCCCCTACTGCATACATAATTATAAAACGCCAGGAGCGCTTTGCTGCAACCAAAAGCTGCGTGGCCAGACAGCTCGTCATTTAGCACTAAGGAGATACAAATGTGCTCCACTGACCGTGCGTTCTGGGGGAACCTGTTGTACTTCTCGTGTTTCTCATAGCTATTGAAATGGAAGATGCACTCGATGAAGTGCTGGGAGAACATCACTGGATTCCTCTTCAGCAAGAGATGCACCAAGCAGAACTCTCCGAACCTGGAAAAGAGGAAAAGGAAGAACTTTGTGCTTTGTACAACAGTACTTCGCAAAATGTTAATCACCACAAGTCCTGCAAGAGCTGCAAGTCAACCCCAGACCTGAAGAACGTGTTTTAGTCTGGATGCAGTCACTGAATGCAGATGCAAAGAAAAGGGCTCCCAAAGACACAGCACTGTTCTCCTTAGCTAAAGCTCTAGGAACGTGATGTTGCAATGTCACCATCTACTGGAAAGACATTTTTACATATTAGAAACTCACTGAAAAGAAAGGAAAGTGTGAATGTGCTCTAGTAAGCACTGATAGGTTGATGGGCCTGGAAACACCAATCTTCAGATGGACTGCTTCAGGTAGAAGCAAAGAGCAAGCTGTCCAAGCCTCCTCTGCATCCTCAGGAACCTGCCCCACTCTCGTTTCTCATGTAACAGAGCAGCTTGAGACTTTGAAACCTATACAAGCTCCATAAACATGCACTTAAAACCAGTGTGCACAACTCCTCTTACATGCCAAAGTACTACAAAATGTGGTAGTAGGCTTAAAAAGAGAAGGCATGCCAGAAAAAAGAGAGTATTTAATCCTATTCCTAGAAAACAAAACCAGCACTCAAGACAGTGCCTGTTAGAAAACCACGAGGAAGATTTCATGAAGGTTGGCTCCGAAAATTCCTTTCTTTCTGGATAACTGACAGTCAAAAATAGAGCAGAGCCGCATGCTTTGAAGACAGCCAAGAACACAAATTCCTTCATTATTTTACAGACGAGTATTTTACCTGGCAATATCTGGGTTCGGATCCACCAAGACACTGATGAAATGGAAGAAGAGACAGTCTTTCCATTTCACAAACTCCTCCTGTAAGAAACCAGCAGACGAGAAATTATCAACCTGAATCAGGAAAGACCTGATGCGAACCTTCAGACCGCAGGCAAGACGATACTGGAGCCTGGCAGAACGGATGTCAAGCAAATGAGCGAGCTACACAACTGCAGCTGGAGGTGCACAAAATAAAATCTCCAGAAGACTATGTTTTGGAGGATGCTTTAAACAACATAAACAGCACAGCAGCAAGCATCCAGCTTTACCACGGGTATCAATAAAAAAGCAGAAGCATGAAAAATGTGGCATACGTGAGGCACACAGGCTCTTCAACACTGTTCTCAGAGCCAGATGCACTCCAAATCTGCCTTGGTTGGCTTCATAGGAACAGGAGGAGAGGAAACATCTTGAGCCTCTCAACATCTACATCTTTACAACAATGAGCAGAGACAATAGAGAAAAAGATGCTGTGATGCTTGTTAGATTCATTTGTATAGGAGTGAAATTGAAGTGAGAAACAAAGGGAAGACAAGAAAAGAGGTAAGAAATGACTAAAAATAATCTCGTTATCCAACTGCGTTAAGTGTCCTTGATATGATTTTTGCTTAGCTAGGGGGAAAAAAAAAAGCAGTAACAAAATACATAGTTTAAAATCTTCTCGATTAAGTGTGGATTAATCAAAGTATAAGCAGTGCACACACTGGACAGGTCGCCAGTATTCAGCACAACAGAGGTGCTTGAGGCGGACCTGTCTTTACCTGCAGAAGGCTGGTAAGCAGGATCAGTGTCTGCTTCCGGATGAAGGGATCTGGGTCCTTCAGACACAAGGAAATGTTGGGGATGTATCTGTCCGTCATGGACGTGTAGCGGATGCACAGGTCGCACAGAACAATGACAACGTTATTGCGCACGGCCACATCCTGCGACACCTCCAGCTCTCGCGCCAGAGCCGCAACGGATTTCTTCGCCAGATCCTCATGCTGTAAACACAATTTACCTGTGGAACAGGGATGAGACTGTCAGTGCTGTGAATATATTCTTCTTCCTAACCACCACAGCTCAGCTAACTGCCTCCTTTGAGCCAAGACAGGAATTGGAAAGTAAACAGGGGAATAAACAAGAATCGCCTGCTGAAACTTGATGAGCAATCTGCACTCTCTCTCAAAGAAATGATGCTTCAAGGAGTTCTTCCAAACTCCTCTTAGACCTATATAGTGTGGGTCTCTGTGCCAAATTCCCTCCTTCACAGCGAACTATTTCTGTGTACAGGGTATTATTCAAAGCAGCTAAAAAGAACAGCCCCAGCTGTCATAGGCATAGCAGGGAGACACCCACCTCTAAAAGCATCACTAAACCAACTTAAAATAAAATAGCCTGCATTCTAACGTTACTTCTCCTTAACTGTTTCCAACCTGTGTTAGAAACACAGGTTTCTAACTTAATACAAAAGTATTAAGCTTTCCAAAGCAGTTAAGGAAAAAAATAATACTGTTTATTTGAAAGAGAGGAGACTTCTTAACTATGGAGGTACTACACAACCAGCACTTCCACTGAGTGCTCTCCATCATGCTGGAGATGTAGATTTGGGCAGGCTCCTATCACGATTAAGCTCTTCATTCATGCTGAGGAGAACAAGTAATGACGTGCAGTCATTCTGCTCTAAACTGCACCAAGAGCTCCGAGTGTTCTTCATCCTCTGTTGAGCACCTTTGTAGTTTGATCCCTCAGCCAGACAGCAACCAACTCCCGAGTACAAGGACAGCACAACTCTGCAGGCCGTTGCTAATTGCTGATCACTATTAATGCATTAACCACCTTGAGAGGCAGTCACGTGCCAGTATTTTTATGGTTTGTGCAACTTGTTACCATGGATATTGGCACTGCTAAAAGCTATGAGCCGAGGCGACGCCAACATTGAGCGCTGTGGCTATTAGTTATTGCTGACACAGCTTTTGAGCCCAGCTTTAACCAGAAAGGGTGGGAATTGGATACATGGGGCACGTTTCATCTGCAGGATAGCACTTACCTAGAGTAATGAATGCATGAGCTCTGATCACTGAAGGCATAGCTGATCCTCTGAACTGGGACAGTGGTTGAGAAGCTGGAGTTTCCTCACCATCTGGAGAACCAGACACTAGGAAGGAACAGGTCAGGAATGAAAACGTGCTTTTCTGGTAAAGAGTGTTGTCTGTAAATGCAGAATTCAAGGCAGTAGGAAAAGAGCCTCACGTTGGTCCTCGTGGACAGAAGAAGCCAGAATGGACTGAACCAAAAGAAAGATGCGTTTCCCCACTTTGGCTGGACACATCTGTGCAGCTTCACCCAAGATGAAGAGGTGTCTCACCTGCAGACAAGCAACAGAGAGAACAGAAGGTGAACCTCCGAAACACGAATGGTGTGCGTGCTTAATGCACTATAACCTCCACACATCCACCAACACTGAAATGCTCCTCAAAGCACTCTGTGCTTTTTACAGAATTGTTTCCCAAACAGCTCATCTAAGAACTATGAGTGGAAAAGCTAAGAAAAAACATGCCATTTTATTTCAAATACATGGGGTAACATATCCTTAAAGCAGCTGCTGATGTATAAAAGTGTTGTATGCTCTGAGGCTTGTCAATACCAGATTTCATTATACACACAAGGTGTGCACATCAGTATTTTCCTATGTAACACAGTTATTGGCATGAACTTTAAGAAAAACCAGTTTCATGTACACCTACATCCTTTGACCAACCTGTGAAGGGACCCAAACTTACCAAGAGATCTTCTTGCAGCTGCTCTGCTCCATTCTCTTTGAGGACTATATTTGAAATATAGCTTTCGCAGGTGGATACTAAATCTCCACACACCTGGTTGAGCAGCTTCTGTTCCATAATTAAACAAAATTAATTCAGCAATTTATTAATTAAACAAAATGTAGCTGTAATATCTCTCCACGCATGAATCCCTGATCTTAAACTCTTCATATGCTTTTAATAATCTAGGTCCTATTGAAATCAATCAGACGGTGCCTTAGAGCTTTAAAATTCTTCCTGCGCATCAAAGGATGTGTGCAAGTGTCAAAACACCTTGAAGAATCTGACTTTTAATGATCTGAAGGCCTACATTTACTTCATTATAGAAATCACACGGATTTAAACAAAAAAGGACTTCAGCGACTGTTCCGCATATATCCAACACATTCGAGGTTGTCTGCATGAATTGTTAAACGTTGTTTGGAAAATGCAGCTCCACCCAAATGAAAATACAATGCAAATTCCGAGGGGAAACAAGAAAAGGTTTTAATTTACCAGATTATGATGAAAATAAAGCATCATTTCTCTTTTTCTACCACCTAAAACTGGTAACGTAAGAAACTAAATACACGGCAGCTGTTGGAACTGCTGAAATGACCAATGTACAGAAACTTCTGCATTTGGTTATAAGCCAACACACTGTGATGACTGTTCCTACAAGGGAGGGTTTTCTGACTGTCAATTTAAAAAAAACCAGAGACCATCAATCCATCCTGGCTTCTGAAACACAGAGTGTGCAGTTTTGCACATTAAACTTTATTGGGATACCGATTACAAAATAGCTGCCATCAATATTGAAAGAGAAACGTAACATATACACAAAGAGAAATCATTAGCAAGAGAGGCCTGCATCAGTTTTAGCTTCTCTGTGACTGTGCTTAGGCTGAGATATCTATTTTACCAGCCAAAGATAGCTCACCTTCTCACTACAGAAGTAGAACAAAGCTAGGGTGTGAAAAAAACAGGGGCAGAAAAAAGAAATGTGCAAATGATGTGTTAAGTTCTTGTTTGATCTCTCGTTTTGGTCCTTTAGAAAGGGGTCTAGGAAATATATGTATCTACAGTAGCTCTGATGTAGTAATCAGAGCTTATAGTACAAACCTACAGCTTTGAACTGGACCAAGCCTGAGAAATAGCTGATATAGTAACAGCACAGCAATGGGTCTCCTCTAGGAATCCTGTGAACTTTTACAGAAGGCAAATGCAAGGTATTTCAGAAGATTTCTTTCAAGTCCATCCTTAGCTACAGGATGCTTTCCAGCACAACTGCAGCGAAGCAAGTAAGAGAGCTGAGCAGACTCGAGCTGCTGGAGTCAGCTCCTTCGCTTAGGGAGCTGATCAACCAACAGACTGGGGGCAGAGACAGCCCTCCTAAGTGTGAAACAAGCTATTTTAAAAGATGTATTTTAAGTCACACCTGTGCCTCCTCCGGCACATCTGCATATGCACGGCACAGCTTCTGCAGAGTTTCTACAGCTGGGCCAATCACCTCCAAGGGACATTGAGGCTCCTTCAGCAAGCTGTTGATATTACCTGAAAAGGAGAGCACACACATCACGTGAGCGTTTTCTAGGCTTATCGACTGCTTATGGAGCAGAAATAACCGTTAAGATGCGAGGCATGAACCGTGACTCCCTCCCCCTCTGCAGTTTCTCAGGGCCACTCACCAACCAGCCTCTCACAGGTGCTTTTAGGGAGGTGCTTTGCAACATGACCGATGACACACAGCACATGTCCTGTAGTATCGGCGCTCGTGTTCTGCTGCCTGAAAAGCGAGCAGACAAACTCACATTAACACTAAGGAACATCACCAAATCACAGCAGAAAAATCTTTTCATCTGGGGCATGCATTATTAAGGCAGAGCTGTCAAAGCAAATGAAAACTCAAAAAGCTTACGAGAAGAGTTGGTTACTGCACTAATCTGCAGGGCATTGCTTGCCTCCTTGCTGCAGAACCTATAAAGACCTATGAACTAAGCAGCTAAAAAGCACTCTGCCAGTGGAAGGACAGAAGCGCTCACTTGCTTTGTTCCTCCTTTTCACCATCATCTCTTTCCTGCAGAATGGAGGATGGAGTTCAAAGCACGCAGATACCTGTTGCCATTGACCCAGGGTTCAATGATCTCCGAGTAATTCAGCTTGGGTGAAGAACCGGACACCTTCGCAAGCAACATCCAAGCTGCTTCAGCGTGCTCCGTTTCCACATGAGACATGACATTACTGATGAAAGTAGAGGTGAACTTATTCTGTTTGGACCAGATATGAAAAGCTTTGTTCAAGTAACGGCTACGAGGAAGAAAGGAAAGAAAAGTTAAAGGAAGCAAAACATGTGGTCTTGGGCACTGGCAGTAAAATACAACTTCTCTGTCCAGGATGCACTGGGCAACACAACAAAGCTGCTATTGCTTGGCATTCCCACTACTCAGAATACAACAGGATTCCTACTAGATATTTTAATAGCAATATTTTTAGTCTTTTGGTTCGTAACTGATGCACTACAGACCTGGCATACAAGCATGGGTGTAGTGCTGTATGTCAGTCAGACTGGTAACATAACAAATCAAGAAAATACAATTTCAGCAATCTATAACACAAGATTTCTAGTAGTTGTTATTTAATATCCTCAACAGGACAGGATGCAGTGATGTTAGGGCACTGTAATTTGCTCATTTTTCTGTTTAACCCTAGTTACCTACTTCACGTTGAAAGAGTTTCGAGATTTATCAGGGTCATGAAGAAGGTGCCACGAAACTGCAAACTATGTTCTAAAATAGCCCAAATTAGAACACTGACAGCTCTGCAGATTGGCAAGGAAGCACAACCAGTATCTCATTTTCTATTTCTAAGCTATTATGCCCTGTTGACTAATAAACATACAGCTGTCTTTAATCAATGTTGTGTCCTTGTCATACTGTGTGTCATCCCATTTCTCCTGCTTCTTCCCACACTGTTCTGCAAAAGGCAGAATAGTTCTATTTGTCATAAGACAAGTAACATATTGTACATCAGCATTAATAAAAGCCAACGTTCTCCTTTCTTTATATATCTTCTCTTACTTCTGTCATCAGAACACCTCCATTTGACTTAAATATTCATGCTGCTATCAACACATCGAGAACAGCATGCAACACTCCTGTACGTGAACAGCCAAGTTCAGGGAGAGAGCACAGGTAACAAGAGCAGCAAATGAAAATACTCGATGCAAAGGAGAACTGTGCTCTCCTCACCAGCTGCCAACTTGTCCATGCTCGACAGCTCCTCTGTCCCAGGAACTGGCAGGGCAACACATGCCCTTCACAACACGATGGTTTCCATCTCTAGCAGTAACATCCACTTATACTGACTGCTTCAAGCAGACAATTCAAATAGCTTTACAATAAACCCCAATACATTTAGCTCCTTGTCCTTGCACAACAGACAGCACATGCATTTAAACAAGATGTAAACTATGACACCTAATGGTCTGTGGCCACACAGTGAATGAGCGCCGAGAGGATCGACTCGTACTCTTATCTTAGTCCTCCAGTCAACGGGCAATTTCCTTCTGTAAGGGAAAAGTTGCGTATTCTAACGGGATTAAAAGTAAAAAAAAAACATATCTGGATTTCATGCCTGAATGCTAACATAAAAAAGGCAATAAAAACACCCGATGGGGCTATGGAAAAGCCAGCAGAGCCAGCAATGAAGGGACAAATGCACTTACTTCAGCTCCCGGCATTCTGAAGTCAAGAGGGTGAGGAGGTCCCACGCTAGAGCCTGCTTTTCAGCTTCACTCCTGGATTTGTTGCAATGCTTGATGTGTTGCAACAAGACCTGTTCAAGGCAATCCAAGGCCTTTTCTTGGACAGTATTTTCACCGTCCATCACAACAGGCACCACTCCGTTTAACCAGGCCTTCTGTATTAGGACGTTATCGTGCTGAGCCTGAGAGAAACACATCTCAATCATTTCTAGGATCCTATCTGCATGGGTAAGATCAGCCTAGAAACCTCCAGATTCAACTACTAACTTTGGAAACAACTTTTAATAAAGCCCAGCATACTGCAATGTGGCAGCACATGAGATGAGGTAACCCGTATCTCCTTGACATATCAATGATCAAACTACCTGGTGCTTCTGCTAAAGTACTGTAATACTTTGTTTTGAAGGCCTATAAATAATTATAACAGTGCTGCAATAAAGCCGTACAGCAGATGATTTAACACGCAGCACAAAAAAAAAAAAGAGCTTTGCTTAATATAAACCCTGTGCTCCAAGCCTAAGTTACTAACCCTCTGTGAATAAATAGAAAAGAAGGGAAAATATTGCTGTGCTATCATCTGCACATTACATCTTAGTAAAGTGATTCAGGTGGTTTTTTTAACTTGAGAAGGCCAGCAACATAAACATTTTCTCCGTGACACATAAATCAACAGCCAGGCAAAGAAACGTTTCCACCAGTTGGAATCATCCTACATAAATCACAAGTATGTATAAGAATGAGTCATGACTTCCAAGTCAAAAGGCAAGGAAAGAAATTAAAACACAGTCCTGAAATGAAATCCACTGAATGAACTGATGTGTACCACATTGGTCTGCTTCCTCCTCCTTTTAAGCCCCAGTTTGCTCAGCTCAGGTCTGCCCAAGGGCTCCCGATCTTGTTCTCACCACAAGGAGCTCCGTTACGGACTGCAAGGCCTGCTTCCGCACCGAAACCGCGGGGTCCCGGCACCGATCCTGCAGCGTGGACAAATCTTCTGCGGTGCAAGGGATCACTTTGTGCTTCAGGATGTTCATAAGGACCTGCGAGTCACATCAGAGCTGCGCTGGAAACACAGGCCACGCGCGTCGGGTAGCAAATCAAAAATACAATCTACCCCCTACCAGCTTTAACTACGGATTAATTTATCTCACCGAGAGGGAAAAATCACATGAACAATTTATGAGCGCCGAGCACAACCGCAGACGTAGAATGAAAGCACCCTTGCAGTCATTCTGATTTGATAACAACGTTTGGATAGAGTCAATGTCACAATTTCCCCTTGAAAATAACGTGGCCTTTGTATGAATCCTATCTTTTACCTGGTAAGAGGGAAGGGGGGATTTTTCTCTGTCTTAAAAAGCTTCAAAACAAATTAACTGCAAAGCCTTCACTTTACAGCTCAAATCAGCGCGTGAACTGAGGGGGAAGAGCTGGGGTGAGAAGGACCAAGGGAGGAAGGCAGTCAACAGCAGACGCGGGGTCTTTAAACCGATGAAGTTTTCATTGAAGCATCCCTCTTTAAAAGCTAATGACTTCATTAAAAACACTGAGCAGCGAGCAAGGCAACGCATTCTTTCCAAAGAGGCTGGATATAACCTAAGCTCTTTGTTAACAAGGTCAGAACAAACTAAGCAGCTAATACGCTTCAATTTCTAAGGAAGTCACTTAATTGAAATGCCTATTGACATTTGAAAAAGAGCCTCTCTGTCTAAATGACGGAATAAGAGAATGCCAGCAAGAGTACTAGAAAAATTTTCCATCATCATGCCTGCGTTATTTACTTATCAGGAATTAGCAAGCAAGACCTTTTGGAGAAGGGGGAAAAACACCGTACCTGGAGAGCAGATTTCCTCACGTTGGGCTTCTCATCACAAGCTCTCAGCCTCAGCAGGGCCATGACTTCTTTTCCTATCCAAAACCACGATACAAAGAAATTACCAACACTGCTATGTAGCGGCACCATGAGTCTACAGTGACACCAGAACACGTTTCCCCTCCCCAAATGTCATGTTAGGCCTCAGATTTTACTTTTCATAGGCATATTCATACTTATTGCTGCACGTTCTCAGCAAAAATGCATAACTGAGATGATAGTTAATACAACTAGATACACAGAGCCACTATTTCTCACCTTTTGACTCATTCAGATGGACTACAGACAAGCTGGCAATACTGATTTCAAGCATTTTACCACTGCTTGTAAGGTTCCTATTTATTGCTGTTTGTTAGATTTGTTACAGCATTAACATTTCCCAAATACATGCCAAACTTGGAGATCTGCTATTTAGAGCAATTAATGTGGAGATCCACTCTGTTGCCATTAAGAAACAGGATTAGTCACAGGGAACTAAGCAAAAGTAGTTTGGAAATGTATTTTTACCAAGGGAAGCTAAGGGACTTTGATCTGCGCTTTCTTAACAGGCAGCTAACTGAAGATTGCATCTTCCTCCTGATAGCAGCTTGGCAGAACCTTTTCATTGCAAGATTTTGTCATGGAAATAGCCCAGCTCTTGTGAAGGTGATCAGATCTGCTAAAATAATCACGCTTTGCCAGCTGACATTGATTTTCCTCCCAGTGACATAGAAAAGAGGGGGGGAAAAAAAGCCAAACAAATCACCAACCAAACAAAGAACCCAAGTTCTAAATGACTGAGAACTATCAAGGGAACATAAATGTTGTTATACTGCTGGGCAGTGGTAACTCTGCAGTGCACCCTGCAGATTATCCCTGCCCTTCTCATCTTTGCCCTTGTGCATTTAGCACGTTCTGGCTATCCTCAGCGAAGATTTATTTCGCTTCTAAAATGCGAGCTGCTTGTAGAAGTGCAAAATTAGCACAGGCACAAGCCAAACCACAAGCGTGTGCCAGACAGCTTTGCTAATGCACCTTGACTGGCTCAGAGGGGCCTGTATTTCAGCTCTCCTCCTGAGCTCCAGACAGGCCTTTTTCATCCAATCCTTCTCTTAATTTGTTTTGCCAAGTGCCAAGTATATGCTCAGCTGGGTATCAGATGCAAAACCAGGCATCCTCTGCCACAAGGAGTCAGCAACTGAACAGGGAATACACAATACCTGACGTGTCCCGGAGGACGTTTCTATCGGAGAAAGCAGATTAATGAAATTTATCAGTGAAATGTTGTAAAAGAAAGCTCTCAATGGAGAAGACTGGAGCCTGGCTCATGGAGATAGGGAGAGAGATTCATGTGAAGAGCAGCATGAGACGTGTGACAAAGACACAAACGCAGGATGTGAACCAGCCAGGGAATTGAATTGTCAGCAGTTCAAGAGAGGTGAGCAGCAAGAACTGAAAGCAAAGATACTGGCAGAGGCCTAAAGGTTGGGAAGAAAAGCTTTCACATGGAAGAGGAAAAGAAAGGAAGAGACTCACAGGAGGAACATCATGGCCTCAAAAGCCACCTTACACGCTGATCTCATGCTATCAACAAATTAGAAATAGCTGCTTGCCATCCCACATCAGCCCATTTAACCTCACACTTTGCTTTCAACTCCAGCCAATACCTGATGCTGCAGAGAAGGGAATGCTTTCCTACATAACAGTGCCAGTGGAAGGTGCTGTGCTTTATGTACCAAAAATATATTAGGTCTTTGTGCACTGGACCAAGAGATTTAATTACCTTTAAATTTATGGAGTTACAAGTATCGCATCCTACATCAACTGCCATCCTTTTTTGGAAAGAATAAATTACCTGCTTTTCAACAAGTGTTGCCATCACATTAGTACGAACGAATATCGGTATTTTAAGATTAAATGTATTTTTTTAGACTTGAGTGGAAATAGTATTTCTTCCTGGCTGGCACTTCCACCCCCTTCATCACCCAGAAGTGTTTTTTAACAGCTCTACAGAAAGCTGTCTCCACTTTCCTTGAAAAACGGACAACGAATACGCTTCAGAAAGTCTAATTTCAATTAAGTTTTGAAAAGTTCTCTGAAAAGGCTCGTGTAATTCTGACTTACCATCAAGCACAGCAGTATCACTGCTGTCTGTCAACTCAATAGTTTTGAAAGTCGGTAAGGTCTTCAGTGGATGGCTGGACATAGCTGAAAGGAAAGTGAAAAACTGAAGAATAAAAAAGGCGTATGTTCACCCAGCAAGATGGTTCACTGTTAAAGAGAGAGCCCCATGCATGCCCTAAGCTTTACAGATAAGTATATATTTAGAGAATGGCATGCCAAGAAAAGCCTGAGTCTTACTATAGGGGAATGACTCTATACCTTCTGCACTGACTGTCGAACTCGCAGTGTTTGTGTTTGCTTCCAACTCTGTGTGGTCAGAGGCTGCCAAAAAGAAATTAAAAAAGAAATTAAACAAAGTATTTTAATTCCGGATATGCTGTCATTCCAAATTTTTGCAGGCAAGTAATCTAACCGTAGGATGCTATGTGCATACTTCTGAATTGTGCCATCTGGCCTTTACCACACCTGAGGGAGTGCAGAATGCCAATCACGAACAAAACAACTCAGCAGAAGGAAAAGGCAACTCGAGATTAAATCTACTGTCAGGCAAGAATGAACTTTTCTTCTTTAATGAGCAATTTCAGTCATCTGTAAATATCCTTCAAAGTTATCTCACGGAGAAATCTATTTAGAATCAATATCCAAGAATAAATCCCTTCCAAATAGAAGGCTTCACGAGTAACAAGACTCATCTATTACTTCTCATTATGGCGCAATACACAAGGAAACCATGTGCAGGTTTTTAAGTTCCTGACAAGCAGTTCTCGCATTTCTCAGTAATTATTCCCCAGAAAGTTCAAGAAATACCTAATCCATCCGGAATACTTACAGCTCTGTAGTAAGTCCTGGATGGTCTCCGAGGTAGAAGCATCTTTCATTTCGAGACAGTGGGCAAAGCTACTTAAAGCTTTGCTACGGACCGCAGGTGCTTTGTCTGAACACCGTCCAAACACCATGACCTGCACTAAAAACTTATGCTTTAGGAACTTCTGCTGATCCAGGGACAAGGAGCTGTCCGAGTTCCTCTCTGGCACATCCAACAAGGCTACAGCTACATCGAGAGCAAACACTCTGTACGCAGTCTGTTTGGAAGAAAAAGCGCACGAGGTGCTCTGTCAGTGTGAGCACAGACACAGGCATTGCCTACCCAGTTTACCCACCTCTGGGTATCCCTAACAACAACAGTGCTGTTCACTACTGATATTGAGCCCTTCATCCTCAGAATACTGCTGTATCTGAACCCTGGCACATCAACTTACTTTAGTGTTGCGTGAGTATTTATAAAGCCAAGCGATGAAGTCAGCAAACTCTTTACAAGGGAGTTTGATCAGCAAATTCACCAAGGCCTGTGCGGCATATGTGCGATAATCAGTCTTATCAGGGACCTGAAAAACAAGGCCAGTCGCACGATATGATATTTTGACACTGTGCTCTAGAAGCTGGAATGGCATTTCAGGGCTTAAGATAAATATTTTTTATTTCATGGGGCGATAGGATCACATTCAGCAATGAGTGGGAGAATATTCACAGCTTCCTTGGTCACTACTTCAGCACAATCAGGCTGTCAAGAGATTTGTAAATGATTAAAATGCTTTCAATCCTTACAAAACGTTGTGAAAATGCATTTTCTGACTATGACAGATACAGCAGTGTATCCACACGTAAGTTCTACACCTCAAGATGCAACAAAGCTTGGCATACCTTGGTGCAGATGTGTTGCAGTAATACTCGAAGAACAGGAAAAACCTCTTCTTTCAGCTCATCTACTAGAGAACTGCACAGAAGAAAAGGATGCTGTTTTAATAAGGCTGGTTTTAGAGCAAAAATCAAGTTAAAGAACATTCCTTTTGGAATACATTTCAAAAGTCAGGACAAGTGTGTGTTTCGGAATCACAAGCACTGGTGCAACAGGATATGGTCAGAGAGCAGACTTACTTACTTTCTACATTAACCTGACTTTGCAGGCCAAAAATGTTTCTTCAATACTAAAAGAAGGACAACATGAAAAGCTTCTTTATTTTGTCTACTTACTATATGTTGTCTGGGGATCTCTGCACAAACTACACTTTCCAATGTGGATCCCCACACAGGGGAATAATAAATATAGACAAAACTTATCTTTGAGCAGGAGAAAGCAAAGATCTAAGGAGAAATGAGCTCCATATTAATCTTTTATTTCTTTTACAATACTTTGTAGTAAACTGCAAGACCTGAAAGACTGACACAAAGCAAAATAGAGAAGGTAGATCCCTTCACTCATTGCCATTTTTCTGTCAAACAGCACCTTCCTTCTCTTCCGTCAGCAAGTTCAGTAAATTCCCATCACAGACATTTTAATTAAACCTCATTTGCACAAACAACCTCAGTCAGTGCCAGTTTGTCTCCTCCCTTTATCAACTAAACAGCACAGCAAAGACATGCCAGGAGAAAGAGCAGACATACCCAGGAAGGGTAGTGCCAGAGCTCTGTACTTCACCTGATGAACTTCACAGCCAGATTCCTGGCACCGATCACAGCCGACGTGATTGCAAGGACCGAGCGTTTGGAACTCGCGCCACTTTCCAGCATGAGAATGACATTGAGGATTTGCTGGAAGACACGATGAAGAACCTGGAAAGAAAAGGTTATTGTCAGGTTCATGCGCATAAGACATTCTGAAAAGCTTGTGTTGCACTTAGAAACCAAGGAGGCTGAAACACACAGCTCTGAAGCTGCTAAAGCCGGGCAGACACTCAGATATATGTCAGGTAAGCGAGTAGTAAGCTTCAGGCTTTCCTGACTAGACAGCTGCTAATGCCCTGGCTTGCTAGCTCCAACCAAGTTCAGATGGGTTTAGAGAGACTTGCAAACACAGGTGACTGGGAGATGACGCATTGCCCTTGAAAATTTAACGAAATAAAAATGTAAAGCTGCAGACGCGTTTCTGGCCGAACTGGATGTTCCACGGTGACAGGATCTTCTCTGAATGAGAATCAGCCCTGCTTACCATCATCTGTGCACAGCACTGCCCCATCATGCTTCACTGCTGCAGCTCAGCGCCACAGCAGCTCCCAAGCAGTGCTGGAGCTCCACCTAGCAGGGAACAGGGAAACTCCAGACAAATGCAGTAACCTGGAATTCTCTTTCAGATCTAGAGATCCAGTGCCACTGTAGCCGTGCTCTGCTGTCGATTCATTTGCCACAGGAGTCACCAGAGCACAGAATGCAATGATCATGAAATGCATCATCACACAAGTCAAATAAGGACTGGAGTGGAAGAAAGCTGCTTTCCTCTGACCCACCAAAGACACGCACACACACAGAGAAAATAAATCAGAAATAAATAAATAAAACTGATGTAATAAGTAAAAAACATCAGGCAAAAGCGGTATGCAGAGAAGGAAAGAAACAACTACTCCTATTCAATCCATCAGTGAGAATTTTAAAGATGTTGTCCAACCTTATTTTCTTCTGTTTCATGTAGAGGGGAACACAGCAACCGCAGTCCATGATAGGCCAGCTCAGGAACATACTTGGCTTTGTTAACATTCCTAAGCAATACAAGGCAAAGAGATGTCTTCAAGTCTCAGGGAAATACTTACTACAACTAAACATACTCATTGACTGGAAAACACTCACTATGTACTAAATGTTGTTTACTGTTGGCTAGGTGGAACACGTTCTAGTTATCTTTAGTGAAAGAAATCATTGCTTTCACTTGTGTATATACAGGATAATAACAACAAAAGCATCAAGCGCTTTACTTGCTTAAAGCATTGTATATAAACATGAAGAACCATTTGCTCACATTGCTGCTGAAAACTCGAACTCGTGCACCACTGGCTCCAAGTTTGTCAGTTCAACAAAGATCTGCAAGGAAAGAAAGCCAAGCTTAGTCAGTTCGCCAGAGGGGAAGACGTGCAGGTCTGAACTTGAGGCTAACTTTCAAATCACCCTATCTCCCCCTTCAAGCAGAATGTAAGAAGGCCCTAGAGCCCACAGGCTGGGGAGGGCTCTGCATTGTGTTAGGGGACATAAGGCTCCTTGAGTTGAATCTCATTACCTGCAGGCAGTTCTGCACACAATGAGGCTTTTCTTTTAGGGAGAACTTGGGTAGAAGTCTTAAGAAGTTTTTCAAAAGGAGGAAGATCGCGTTGCGAACTTGAAGAAGATCGTCGGTTGAAAAGTAAACATTTTCACGATCTTCATCCTCTTCATCCTCCTCCTCTTCCAGTATCTCGTCTATCTGTATTGGTAGAAGACAGACAAAGCATCACCCTGTCCCACAGCACTGCCTGATCTCTGATTTCCTGTGGCATCAATGCTCTCTCAGGATTTCTGCTGCATAATCCTCAGTCCCATTTAAAAAAATCCATACAAACATTAGAACAAGCAGCTGAGTACAGCTCACCAAAGCATTTTAGCCCTTAACTTCCCATCAGTAAGTTGGCAAGGAAACTCAAATGCCATTTGCAAGCTAACTTGAAGGTCTCTTGAAGAAGCTGATATAAATCAGTTTCTCCCTCTGTTACTAATCTTTCTTAACAATATGCCACAGAGAAATAAGCTGTATATTTTTCTATTAGTCAGCAGCTAATGTTGAATCATCAGACCTCTAAAATTCTTAGTAATAGGTAGAGGATGAAGAGCAGAGCTGTATAAAAGGTTAATAACTACAAAAGGGTCAAAAAGAGGAAGAGGATCAGACTGACCTAGGAGTGAAATAGCTTGCCAACAACTTGCATATTAAGAGAGATTTATATCTGAAGAGATGACACAAACATCTTACACTGCTACTCCTGCACGGTTTTCCCTTCTTTCTGTTTCTTCTTGTGCTGTTCTGAGAGCTTTGAGTGTTCGTCTTCTTTCTTTTCCTCATCAGATCTGCTTCTTGAGGCCAACTTTTGGTCAGGGTCTGAAGGCATTTATCAAACATCACTTGATGGAACAGCTGGTTAGCTATGCTGCCTGCCCAGAAAAGACAACATCAGAAATCTTCCAGACGAAATACAGAGAGAGCATCAAATCATCTTGCCATCTCTCCATTGGCTTTGACAGCTAAACAGACGGCTGTCCAAGGGCTTCAGGGAGATCAAGCGAACAGTTCAAAAGCCATCGCGTGCTCCACCTGGGATTCTTATAAATGAAAGCTCATTTTACCCGAATGATGTTTTCTCCAGCAATAAAGAGGCACGTCCTGCCACTCACCTGGGATTTCCATCAGTAAGAAGTACAAGCCAGCCGCGTGCAGGGCGTAAACCCTCTGCTGCGCATCAGCTCTTTTATGCTGGCCCGCTTGGACGAAGTGGTGCAACACAGCCACAAAAGCGTTAGGAGGGAAACTGTTCTCAGCAAACAAGGCCCAGACATTCTGAAACAAAATATAGGAGTAATAGTGAGAAATCCCACAATAACATAGTTCCCTACAAGTAGCTACTATTCACATTTTGACAGTTGCCACTGCAACCCCTATATATGTATTGTATCATATATTTTTAATAGGCTCTAATAATTATGTTAGAATATATACTACTATATATCATTTATATTATATATATGTTTTTAAACCTGGGAATAGCATCCCTCTGAAGCATCCCAGCACATATGGCAAGAATAGTTCTGGACAGTCTTAGAATATTTGGCAAAATTAAGTAACTGGAAAGCACAGGACCAGCATCTTCGTCAAGCTGGATGTGACCCAGTGCCACTGGCCTCACCTCTCTGTTCTCCTGGTCC